AATGCAGTTATAACACAAGCTTTAAAAGTAAGTGTGTGTCCACTAGTTCAAAGTTTATATAAATATTCACTTAAGTACATAACAAGCGAGTTCATATAATTTATGTAGGTACCATGAAACTTGAGCACTACAAAACAACTAGGTATATATATATATATATATAAATCCAAAAATATTTCTTATTCCACAACATTCTCATATCACATCAAAAATCTTTTGTGAAAAGTTCAAGTCACACTGCACTTTTTTATTATTTAATGTGTAAATCAATTGAAGAGGTCACTTTGTTTTATATAAAAAAAATATGACTAAAGTTTAACCAAGTTAAGTTCACTTAGTCAATAAATATTTTTTAACACATTCCATAGATAAGGAATAATCCATGTCTTGTTTCAACAATGATTTTAAAATTTCGCTTTCCATGATTATATAATTATTTTTCCGAGAATTAACGCGATCGATCGAGTCAGCCTGTGACTACGGCCAGTGCAATCTGGCCGAAATGTCAGGTATGTTACACCTATTGATCGTGTTGACAGATAAATAATTATATAGCTATTTTTCACTGTAGCTTCACTACCTAATATATTAAAAAAATGAATTTTTTAAACTGAAATTAGTACAAATTATATAAAACATAAAATCAACGACCTTAAGTGGCCCTATATGAGTTTTTAACTTGCTAAAATGACCAAAGTTTTCAATAACTAGACTAAAAAAATAAAACTGCACTCACGACATTGTTGTGCCTAAATATTGTCCAATTTTAATATGAATAAAAAGGATTATGCATGTAGCTACTTACTTACTTTGATAGAATAAAACATCTTTGGGTAAACATTATATTTAAACGATTTTTTAGTTTACTAAAGTTTGGTCCTGAAAACAGTGGTCACATCGAACTTAAAAACTCAAATTTATGGAAAAAAAAATTAGAAGCAGTTTTAAAAACTTGCTAGTGCTCTTTAAGCCCGTGCTATGATTTTATATTAGTTAAATACTTTAAACTATTTGTTAATGTAAATATGTCCTAACTAGTGGACACATAGGAGGCACTACATAAAAAAGATATTGTAGGTAAATGTGTCGCGCGCTTCCGCATTATCCCTTATATTTTCACACCCCACTAACACTTTTTCCCAACTTCGAAGATGTTTTCCCAATCCGTGACATATCTGCCCCATTGTTTTCTTGTCCCCATTCTATTCCTTTACAGCCCCTACAGTTCGGTTCCAGTCCCCTTACTCGAAGTCTCTTCACGGCGCGCGCAACACGTCAGCTACAGCGGGCAACCGCCTCCCTACGCAAGACAACACCCAAGTTAGGGAAAACAAATAGGAATTAATATGAACCCAAAATTGATTTCTAATTGATTCATCACAATCATATAATGTAATGCAAAAATAATCATATTTGAGTCCATTGTTCGGGGTGAAATTATTTAGTAAAATTATCAAATAATATGGGATCTAGTAATTAAAAAAAAAGCAATAACTATATGCTACACACAAACACAACCAACAAACTAGAGAGTTAACAATACAGTATAAACTTTTATAATTTGAGGGTTACAACATTTAATATTAAATAATTTTAACATTTATATTTCTGTCGCTGACTATGTCTAGATAATTTGCAATTAAAAAAACATTGACAAGGCATGAGGATGTAAGACGAAAAAAAAGAAGTCTATTAAAAGTGACTTTAAAAATAGGAGTGGGTTCTCCATTTAGTTTTTTAATAATTAATATTATTTTTAAAAATTTATTAAAAAAAAAATATATATATACATATATTTTATAATGACGCGCTTAAGCCGCCAGATTAATAATTGTTTTCATAAATTCGATAGTAGTAGGGCAGTAGAAGTAAAAATATATTTATAAAGTTTAAAAAGTCACCATAATTTGTGGAAGCATACAAGTAGATTATACACATAAATAGTTCTGAGTGTTGCCAGATAGATCTCTATTCAGCATTTCACAAAATGTAATTCAGAAAAATATCTAATATTCAATAAAATTTGCTAATATGTATGTGCTTAAAAAAAATTAACCCATTGAACAAACAAACCTACTTTGAAGTAGCGATGCTAAATTTTATATTTTAAAAACTTTTAAATAAAGTTTTTTTTTTGAGTTCTTGCTTTCTGGCGATAATCTGTCTTAAACTAGATTTAATTTAGATTGCCACATAAACTGAACAAAATGTCTCAATCTATTCTGTTGAATAAGTTGATAGATCTCATGGGCAAAACACGGTTATTTTAAGTTGCGAATCAGGTTTCGCAAACGAACATAGGCAGATGTTCGAATTGACTATTTTATTAAAATATGTTAAAAATAGGATCTGGCAACATTGAGTCACATTACAACTATCAAAGTTTTGTAGAAAATTTGAAAAATATTTACATAAGCTAGCTCCTCTTTGCTGTAACGTTTCTGTTTTATTTATTGACATAAAATAAATCTTAGTTATCTGTACTGTCCAAGATACATTGTCAGTCTGAGAACTCAATGGTTATTTTATTTTAAGGCCAAAAATAATGTCAAGGAGCCTCGTTTTGTGTCATCACAACCCGTGTCTCCACAACAGTATTAAACTGCAAATCAATTTAAACTTAATAGAGTTTTGGGAATACCACATGCCAAGGATACAGAGAACTGATATAGGAGTACCTTTCATCCAGAACAAAGTCTTATTCCTGAAAGATGAAACTTTACGCGAGAGAAGCCGTGGGCAATAGCTTATAGAATATATAATTATAAAAGATACAAGTACAGGCAAGTATTAAAATTTGGTATTTTATAACAAGATATAAAAGAAAGCTCTTAACAAAATAGGAAATCTATTCTGTGGATCAGCTTAACTTGATCTCACGTTAGTAGAATATGCGTTTAAACCGTAAGTATATAAAAATATTAGACAAACCACAACCTAATATAGATAGACAAGACAATAGGGAATATGCACGTGACACCAAAATGGACAAAATATTTTTATTTGTAATTTTTATTGCTAAAAAAAGATACCCATACAATTATTTTTGAAATTTATTATAATTTAATAGTGAAATTTAATCATCAGAAATTGGCTTTTTTAAGATTCCCTCGCAAATTTCTAAAACGCAACGCTATTGGTTGAATAAAACGTGACGTCAACCTACACTGTCAAGAGTGTCAACAAGTTGTGTGTATTTGTAATATTTGGTTTCTGGTGATTATTTGTTTCATTTTAAGTTAATAACTAATAGGTTTTCAGTGTTAAATTATTAAATTCTCGTGTAGAAAGACTCAACACAATGACTGAATATACACTGTCAGGTGCAGTTTTGATATTATTTGGGCACAAAGGAACGGCACAATATTTATAAGTTTTTATTGGTTTTTATGGTAATAAGTTAATTTTTATCACTCACTTTTCTAACTTTCTGAAACTTTGTGAACTTTACTCCGTTGTTGACATCGAATTCGTCTGAAAGTGTAATCTGACGTCACAAAAAAAGCGCGCCAAAATGGACGTGTTAAAATTGCCTCAAAATAATAGTGATTTTAATAAAAAATGTTTACTTAACGGTTTATATTTCGGATGTGTTATATTAATTTTTGGTAGTGTAATAACTAATGGAATCGTTAAAAAAAATACATGCATATTCCCTATTACCGAATTAAGTATATTCGGTAATTGTCTAATAAAATTCTAATTCTATTACATTTTAATATTGTATTTTTTAATACTTCATTTTGTTCTCATTCACTCTTAGCTTAACTGAGGGGTTATTCTTTATTTAATTAAGTATTAATTGAGATAATAATTTGATAAAATTCTCTCGTTTCAAATTCATTATAGCTCATTATAATTAAGAAAAAAACCTAGTAGACATTTTTAAGATTATTTTGGCTAATTTCTAAATATAATTTAACTACAACAATGTGTTACCAGCATCATAAAATTACTACCAATTTTGTCTGTATAATAAGTATATAAGTTATAAAAAAGTACATGAGTCTAAATATATTAATTACTCACAAATGGTTATATTTCTAGTATCTACTTCAACATTTAAAATAATAATACTATTCTCAATAATACTACCCTATTTAAAAGTTTTATGTTAAGTAGTTGTTAAGTAGGAATTATCAAGTTTAATAATCATTTTTAAATTTACTACATTTACTTCTAAGGAATAATGGAAGATACATTTAATTAAATTTATTTACATATAATTTTTATATTATTAAAAGATTAACCAGGATTTTTATTTATAATTTATTTTATTATTATTTAATAAAACTTTTGGTAAAACTTTAGTCTTATTATAAATACTCAATAGGCATAAAAGCACTAAATTCCACAGAAATTGACTATGAATACTACGTATTTTGTAATAATTATTATTTTCAGTTATTATTATTAATTAATATGGAACAGTATACTGAGCGGTCATTGTCATTTGAAATGTATTTAATCGGTAACTAGCTTTCAAGACGACATTTTACTGGGGTTTGCCATACGAAAATAATAATAATTTGATATGGCATTGACAACTGTCACCTGTCATGTCAAATTTGTGAATTCTTTTATAAATATGTTATGTCTTTAAAAACAAGCCACCTTGATTTAAAAAGGGACATTGTTTTTATAAAAATATCGTTAAATATGCACTTAAGAAAGTGTGTTAGAGTCAGTAATTTTGATATTTTTAATAATTTAATCCTTCTCATATCATTTCTACTTGTTTACAGGACATAGAAAATTGTTAACACGAAGAAGAGAGACTGTAAAGGGGAAGAGAGATTTATAATAAATAAATAAATAACCCTCTATTATATCATCTTTTTCATGTGACGAAGAACAGAAAGAAGAGCTAACGGGTTTTTTGGAACATTTCGATTTAAAAAAAAGTTCTAAAGTTACTATTTTGTCTCTTTTGATATGACAGTAAACTGTATTGTAAGTCCAGTAAAATATGTCTTCAAAAGCTACAACTCTAGGAGGATCTAAACAATAGCCTCTGTGTCGCTAATCACATGAATACCATGTTTAGTCAAAATAAGTCTAACAATATCATTACAGCTACGCGTCTTGTAATTTTTACCGCCATCTTTGATTTTGATACTCTTTACCTTCTCACAGAGCTTCTGCACCTCTGATTTACTCTTCTTCATCTCCTCCGGTCTCAATTTCCTTATAGTCGACGAACATCGCTTCTTCGCCGAAGTGTCCGCTTCAATGTTCTCAACATTCCCTTCACTCACTCTCCTCTTATACAAATCATAGTCTGATTCCTTTGAAAGGTAGCTATCTAAAGAAGAATACGAATTATCATACGTTACCTTGTCTACTTTGTGTTCAATCGCATCACTGACTATTTTGACAGCTTTCCCGGGCACATATGTAGATGGGACTTTATCGCTGAAGGCTACTTTTGGCTTCATAGAATCCATGATAGGGCTAACCGAATCTGTGTGTGAATTGGGCATAAGAAAATTGGATTTCCGCTGTCTCTTGACCGTTATAGTGTCTTCAACCAGTGAAGGTTTATCTCTTATAGATATAAGGATATTTTTGAAGCTGGATTCTTCGGGTGATGTCATAATGACATCTTGGGGGGATCTCTTGTCGTAGGTAGTTAGCAAGTCATTGAGATAATTATACTCACTGTGTCCAGGCAGCGTGAAATATGATTAATTGTTATTTAATTGCATTAATACATCACAAATATACAAAGTGCTGCAAAACTTAATTATAAAGTTTTCTAATACGGATGGTATTTAATATTCTTAAACGATTTGCAAAATATGAACTACAAATTGTCTAAGGATAGCATATAATATACGTGTATTGAGAATTTTTTTGATTAACTTCGATCCGCTTTGTATAATGGTGGACTTCGCATTTTTCTTTTTGCAAAATTTCAATCATTGTCAATTACGATGTCCAAACATAAATGATGTATAAATATAGATAATACCAACTACATGACAACCCTTTCTTATGGTATTTCACCCTTTGTTTTGCAATACAGTTCCCGCTAAACCCTCACATATAAATATAAAAGATAAAAAAAAAAAAAAAATTCGTTATTGATTATTAAGTCAGTTTTTTTATAGTTCAATGTCATAAGAGGAGGTTGTTTTTTATTTATTTACGTTTTCTATCTCATAATTATTCTATATTCAAACATTATTGAATACATTAATGAATTTTGGGGTTTTGACTAGACTGTTTTGTGATGATGGGAATAGTTTAAAACATTTTGTATCATAATAACAAATAAATTCGAAAATACAAACAATAAAATAAGTCTTTAATTATTTTCGAAACTAATATCATAAAAAAAAAATATGATTACTAATCATGCTACTCATTACAGCAACAACTATATAAACCAACAAACAAACAAAATATTAAGAATAACGCCATCTATGGGTGTGTTTTGAAAAATAAACATACATCCAAAAATTATAAATATATAAATACAAATAAATAAAATGATTTTATAATTACAATAAACGATTTTCTGTACATCCTTAGGAAAAAAACCTCATAAAATTTAGGAACAGTCCACTATCTATATTCTGAAAATAACGCCATCTGTGGCTAGGCGGTGGCAATGAGTGGTGCGATGCGTGTGGTGTACTCACGTGAGCGTGTGCGGCGCCCCGTAGAGGCGGTGCTGGCGCACGTAGGCGAGCACGGCGTCGTCCGTCAGGTACTTGGCGCTCTCCCCGCGCCGCACGAGCCGACGGATCACCGTCGAGCTCACGTCGTTCACTATGTAATTCGTTACTAACACGATGTTTTTCTGGAAACGATGTTTGTTTTTTTTTTTCAAAATAAATCTTGATCTCATCATCACACACATCAACAGCCTATACTGGTTCACTACTGGGCATAGGCTTCTCCTTAGAAAGGAGGTTTTGGCCTACTATACCACGCTGGCCAGACGGGACGGTATAGGATTCGTTTCAAGTTTTCCTTCTCTTTGCAGTGCTGTTGTCCTGTTTAGTTTGCTCCCTTAGTCGGCTCTTACGACACCCACGGAATGAATTGGGGTGGTGACAATTTGTATTCTTAATCCGTCACCACACGGATATCTTGATCTCGCCGATGACAGTTCAAATATCCGTTGCTTAGTTTTTGGTACCACGCGACCGCCCTAATTAGGCAGAGCCTGTGTGATGATACCCAGATTCCTCATGAGTATACTTTTACATTTCTAAATACACCATAATTATAAAGAAATTACACCCAGACACAGAACATACTCGCGTTCATTACAGTTATTTATCCTAGGTGAGAATCGAACTAAGAACCGCTCAGCAGTCAAGATCACTGGATCACTGAAAAAAGGTCCCCACTATGACTAAAATACGTGAATAATAAACATGTAACGTTATAGAAATCATAAATAAAAGAGGAACTGAAGTTATAACAATTATGTCGTTAGTTTAAAAAAAAGGTGTTATGTCGGTTATTGCGGTATAAAATAGCTTTTGTCCTTTCTCAAGAATCAAAGTATCTCCATACCAAATTTCATTAAAATCGATTCAGCGGCTTAGCATTTATAAGATTTTACACCCTTAATGGATGGATGAATGGATTTGTGTCAAGATTTGTGTTTTCCTTTGCTTTGCAGTGCTGTTGCCCTACAAAGTTTACTTCTTTAGTCGGCTCTTACGACATGTAAAGGAGCAGGCCCGTCTCTAGCCTGTAGGAGGCCCTGGGCAAATTAACATAAGGGGCCCCTACGAACTGAGCTGAGCACTGTTTTGTTAGAATAGACCAAAAAAGTATTGTAGTCAGTCATTACAGATGGATTTTTCGAAATATTTATGTTCTTTGGTGATAAATATTGATTTTCGATTGGTGATCTGGTAGGATCGGGTCCCTATCGATCGAGGGGCCCTGGGCACGTGCCCAGAGTGCCCAGTGGGAGAGAGGGGCCTGAGGATGAGTAGGGGTGGTGACACTCTGTATTATTCTTCACTCACTTCTCTCTCACCACACAGACAAGTAAATGTATTACTAAAATATCCTGCAAGATTCCATAACGTACACAAGCCTCCCCCTTCCTTCCCACATTTTATTACGTTAATAAAATGTGTGATAGTTTGTATTAATCTGCTTGAATACAATTTTTAATTTAATAGTAGACGCTATAACAAGCAACATCTGAGGGCCGAGTGTGATTTTATTTTGCATGAACTCGATCGTCACTGTGAACGCGTTCGGCATTGCTATTTCCCCGCGCTGAAATCTACACCAATCGCAACACCGAACGCGCTCGCCGTCGAGAACGAGTTGATGTCAAATAAACTCACACTAAACCCACTGTTTGCTAAAATACATCATACTCACTCTATGTTTGTAAAGCATATCAGAGTTGTAGATAAACTTCCCGGGGTCGCTGCCGGCTCTGGACACCACCACGAGACCGTGACGACCTACTATCGTTTCCATCTGAAAGAAATAATCAAATTCTAATTATCTCTCATTTTGTTTTTCTCTTTTATGGTATAGTGGGACAAACAAAAAGACGGGCCACCTCATGATAAGTGACTGACCGGCAGTGCGGAGCCCCCCCCCCCTCAGTATCAGGGTTTGGGCAACGGTATCCTTGAAATAATTGCTTAGCTACAGTTTTCTGTGAGGCAGTGATATGAATCCGGTCAAGCCAGCCCCGGTTTCTAGAACGAATCTCGAACAAGGAAATTCACGAAGGCTATTCTCTGTACAGGTATTTATGGGTACAGCACACAAGTACCTAACAATCAATCCGTGTGTTCAATGTTTTATTCCACTTGACCGCCGATTCTTGAAATGTGAAAGCCGGAAAATATAGTCAATTAAACTCACATCCTCATCAGACCACAGTCCAGGTGTTGCAAAAGACTCCAAGAGATCAGCTCCGCACAGCAGTTTCACAGTCACCTTATCATCCATTTGGTTCCCATTGAGCTTCTCCATCAAGTTGTCTGGCTCATCGATGTTGTTCAAGTTGATGACGTCATCCGGCAACCACGATGGCGCGTTCGGGTCGTTTGCGAAGTTGTTTATCGTATCCTGTAAAATATTACCCCAAATTAAAAAAAAAACTACGACGTTTCCAGAAAGTGTCATCTATCTGATGGTCAGTAGGTTCCTAGCTCTAGAGGTTTGTACTTGAGGTAGAGAACCCCCCACAGAAGACCACAGCCACTACCCGTGGTCATTTGGAGTGTACCAAATCCAGTGAAATGTAAAATTAACCATAGAAAAAAAACAACTTACGGGAATACGCATAATTATAATAATTTCGACATCTAAATAATATAAAGAACTCACCTGATGATACTGTAGAGATAGTCTGGTCCTAGTCCACCCTGACTGCTGTGTCTCCCACTCCGATATCTTGATCCAAGAGGATGATCGTAGCGCCAGCTTCAACATGGCTATCCTGAAGTACACATCATGTCATTTAAGTATCCTCCTAGACATCTATGACTTGTTCCATTAGGTTTAAAATTTCTATAACTCTCATAAATACCCAAAGATGTACTTCAGTGTGAGTTGTCTTTAGTCATTGAACAGCCATGCTTCATGCTGTGGTCATGGTGGGCCGGCAAGACTGGGGTGATACTACGGCCTCACAGAAACCCGGTGTTCGGCAATTACTTTGATGTTTTCCACTATGTGAAGTTACTGGAGTCCCAACTCCAGGGAACAACGCACTTGTGACTACTAAATTGAATTTCTTCAACAAGCCTTAAGTGAACTAAAATTATGTTTAATTCTAACTAATACTGTAGGCATCGCTTTGTGGATTGCTAAGTGCTACCTCAATAACTTGCGACCGCTTCCGGTGCTGCAAGAACTGGAGACCATGAGATGGCGTGAGCCGTCTCCTTCTGCGAGCAAGTTATTATGCTCGCGAAGGAGACGGCGGAGCGGGACCGGGAGAGGTGTAGAACTCTCCCGGCCCGCCAGGCCCGGGAACGGGCCAGGTACCGCAGGCGACTCAGGCGCCGGAGGTCGCAGAACGACCTCCGTCCTCCATAAGCGCAGGCCTGGGGTACAGGTAAGGCCATCTGTCACCCTAGCAGAAGCAGGCCGGGGTAGCGGCGAGCGCGTTGCGAAGCACGCTCGCTTCCAGGGAGCAGAGGGAACATGGGGTTCCCACACGGGGGGTGGTCGTCTACTCGTCTGTAGATGGCCCGTGGTATGTCGGGGTACCAGGGACTTCCTTTCTAGGGTATACCTGGTTCCCCGGCTATTAGTACCCGAGACGGCGTGCGGTTTTGGTGCGGCAAAATGTCAAGTTTGTAGCCCCAGCGGTTTAGACTTGTTTTGATGAATCAGTCAGTCAAGCCAGCAAAGTGTAATTATAGACTTCTTTAATTAAATAACAATAGTTATTATTTTATTTAACAAGACCTTGAACTGTTTAATGACAAATTTCTTATCTGCATTCTACTAAGTAGGTAAATATGCTGTGATAATAACAAATTGTAATATCATAATGATTGTAATACTTTTCACCCATTTTAAATGGTATAAGAGGGCGCTCGAGCAGACACATGATGGTGACTACCGCCGTTTATAGACACCTCTGATACCTCACATCTGAGTCCTCCCTCCCTCCCCCCAGAATCAGGGTAAATGCTCCGGTAACCTGACCAAGAATTGCTTAGAGAGGTTTTCTGTGAGGCAGTGGTATCGAGCTGGCCCCGGTTTCTAGAACGACTCTCGTACAAGGAAATTCACGAAGACTAATTTCTGTACTGTTATTTATAAGTACAACACACAAGTACCTAACAATCGAACGTTGGTATCGTATCCAAAAACCTGTGTGTCCAGTCACAACCATTCCACTTGACCGAAAATATTAAAAAAAACGCCGCCTTTTGAGATCACCCCTCCCAAGAAATGGAGGTTTTGGACTCCGGTAACCTAACTCACTTGGAGATAAGCCACTAAACAATTACGTCTTACACCGGTTCTCTATGAGACCGTGGCATCGCTCCCGTCGAGCAGGCCTATTTGTGCTGAAGCATGGCTGTCCCATGTGGTGGTGATTTGGTCTCAGTTTTACTTCAGTGTTTATGAGACACAAACATTAAACAGCCAACAGTAGTTCTCAGAACATATTGCAAAACTATTGCAACACAACACACTGCAACTACTTAATCAATCAATGCCTTCAATTAGCCTACTAGAGGCCACTGCTGGTTGTAGGCCTTTCCCAAAGTGAGAAGTGGCACATTGTCTATCCCACTTACCCCTAATCAAGGACACTTCATTCAAAATCAAATTACCCCCAAATTAAATAAACAACCTCATGTTTATATTAGATTAATATCTTCACCTTCAGTATTCTCTTTCTCTAATGATTTTAACAATTTATAACTAGCAATTAGGCCTGGCTTTATGTATCAGCCCTGGCTTCACATGGGTAGACAAGGGTTTTGATGCATATATCAAATGTTTAAATGTAGAAAATGGCCCCATGGATTAACATTTTCAACAACTTTCGTCATAGTTTAACCATTTTACACAAAACCTTAACAAATTATGTCCTATGGATTACTCTATCCATTAGTAAAAATCACATTAAAATATACTAAGTACTTTTTGAGTTTGTTACAAACAGATATAGACAGATCATACAGACAGAGGTGGCAAGGGACTGTTTTATAACATGTATAAATATGTGTATATATGAACACATATACTACATAATATAATCATTTGTAAATATTCAATATTAAACTTTATATAAGTCTAATGACAATAAGATGAAAATCACATACAAAATGCAACCTAGATTTTATTCTGATTTTGCAATTTTTTTTAATTTTTATTTATTTAATAAATAAAAGTTGTCATTTCCTCTTCATGTAATAATATTCTGTATGTGGTTTTCATATTTTAAAATTAGTCATTAGACTTATTTAACTGAGTAAATGGAATGGAGGGTAATTTTTGGATAATTTATTACAGTGGAACAATTCTGAGGTAGATTAAGCCTGTTTAACTCTGTGTCCCGGACCAAGCAAACTTACAAGTAATGAACCAAAGTAGGTGAATGTTGATAACAAGGATGATTTTTAATATGATTGTGCAAAAAAATATTTTCAGTTAATAATCTTACCTATGATGCGCTGCTACTAAGTCTTTTTTCCCATATGCGTCATGCACAGGAGAAGCCAGGCCTCCAACCACGGTCCCATGACCCAGTGAGTTTATATAGTCTCTGGCAATTTCTAAAAAATACCGATTAATATTATTTTATTAAAATTTCTAGTCTTATTTATTTTATTCAACAATAGTGATCATTTGATTTTTTTGTTTCATTAAGGTCTCAATAGATGTGTTACATTTAAAAAACATTAATTTGCTAAATAAATTAATACACATTTTTTCATTGATCGTATTTACATACCAAACATACGAAGATGCATGTAAGTTGGTGGGCTAAAACTGCCACAGGCCATCAGCACAATCTTGCCCTGAACCATTTTCACCCTTTTTAACCCCCCCACAAAATAATTTAACGCTGGTAAATTAATTTTGTATTTTTATAACACATCACAACAAATACAGGGCACCAATGCCTTCATTGATTTAACTTCATTACGAAACTAAATGTAAAATACAGTAATGAGCCGAAAATACATGCAGTTGTAGTACATTTCCTAGAATAGTATTATAGTAGTACGAGTAGTTCCCTTTTACGCAGATTTTGTTCGACTCAAATTCTCAGTAGGTTTTGGTTTTACTGTCATTCAAACACAAATTGTAAAGGCCTTTTACTATTTATACAAGAGCTGTATTTTTTCTAATTTTAATTTCATATTAGAGTAAACAGGATCTCCTTTTACATCAGCTTTTATGGACAACGGAACGAATATAATACGTCTAAATGACAAATGTATGTCTGACAAGTTCACTAAAAGGAAATATTATAATTTACATTTAGTAGCCTTATAAGACACATTCTATTACCTTGATGCTTGTTTTCGTCTCGTCCTTTATTCCTTCATAGTACCTATTTATTTACTAATTTTACTATGCAAATACATTTTATGACTAGACCTATGCGAAACCGGCACATAAAAAAACACGAGTTCACCTTATTATTTTCTCATTGACATCATAACCTTAGCGGTAAACCTAATCAGCTGGGTAAACAAGTCAGTCGGAATTTTCCTATAAAATGAGGTTAACTTTGCGTTTGTTGTCTTCTACAGTTAATAAAACACCTTTTTATGTCTCCACACCTATATTTTACGTGAACGCTGGTAAGAATACTGTAAAATATTATTATTAGTACCTAACTTTCACACAAAGATAGTTAGCAATATTTTCTAAAAATTGGCTCAATTCTAACTTAATTTTAGCGAACATCGAACTGTATTTTCGTGCCGAGAAGGCGTCTTACTCATAATTATTGCTTAAATTTTAGCACCACATCTGGGCCACTTATATACAGCGCTGGTTGCAGATGCCATTCAGAGATTTGAGAAACTTGTCAACCCTAACACCCAGGTCATATTTAGTACAGGTATTTTTATTTTGAATTTAGTTATTTATATCTTTATGTTAATAGAACAAATTTCTGTTATATTTAAAGCTATTTCTACACTGAGATCTTATTTTACCTTCATATAGTATTTACAAATAGATACTAACATTGTACAACAAAAAACTTTTTTTTTTAATTTAGGTACAGACGAACATGGCACAAAAATACAGCAGGCGGCCTCTAAAGCCAAGATGTCCCCATCAGAATATTGTACCAATATATCTAATGAATACAGGGGCCTGTTCAAAGAGTTTGATGTCGAATACACTGATTTCATACGCACCACTGAAGAGAGGCACAAGATTGCTGTCAAGCATTTTTGGGTGAGTTCTTAGTTATAACATCCTGTGCAAAAAATTACCTATTATATTATTCACATTTTGAATAATTTTTCATATTTGCTAATGTTATAGTGTGTGATGCTCAGACCTTAGTGGTAACTGAGTAGGTTTACTCATTGAAAAAGTTAAGCAATCCTATCCAAATCAGTCTATGGATGGGTTACCATTCTTCACCATAGAAATTCTATGCCTCAGAGAGCATGCTAAGCTGTCTGTCCTGGTTGCTATACAAACTTACAAATATCTGTGGCAATAATTACGGGTAGTTGGAGATGTAAAACGTTAAACTACAGTCCTTCTACAGAACTTAGATATTGCCTAGTATTTGGGTTGTGGAAGTCTGATGGCAGTTGCTCATAAAAAATCGAAGTTTAGCCGTATAATAGTAGACTTCAAGCCGACCACAACCCAGTTTGGGAAAATGACTGGTAGGAAGGTAGTGTTGTAGTGTTATTATTTACACAATATTGTTTTTGTGAATTTAGGGTATGTAGACAAAATATATATATATTTTTTTGAAAGGCAACTTCCGCACTTAGGAACAAATCCTGTGTCATAGGAGACTTTATAAACATACATGAAACAAACACAAAGAACGCCCAGACTCAGAACAACAATTTGTGGATCTCACATAGTGTTGTTCAGCAACACTCAGCGCAGTAGGCAGTGGCGAGGTGACCGCTTCCTACCAATACACCATCTGTGCATTCGTAATATAGTGCAATAATGTACCTGCTTAAGTGCCAGTACTAATTGGGAATAGTTAAAAAGAACATCTAATTACATACTTTCTAAAATCTATCATTTTCTTATACAGTGTAGAACTTTGTGGTTAAGAAGAATATTTATCAGTTATTTTTTAAAACATTGACATTCTCAATATCAACTTGATAACCATTTTACTTTCAGAGCAAGTTAATGAAGCAAGATTATATATACAAGTCAAAATACAATGGTTGGTATAGTGTAAACGATGAAGCATTTGTACCTGAGACACATGTCAAGGATGAAATAAGGAATGGTGAACAGGTAATCCGCATTTTCATATGCAATCAGTAGAGAATAACACTGAGTTAAGGCTATATTTTGTTAGTTAAAACTATTTTTTATGTTGTAATCTTTACATGTCATGCAGAGAGATTAAGAAAATGTGGTGAGGAAAATTTGAACTGTACAAGAGGAGATGAAGACCAAATAAAGGTGGATGGACTGTGTGAGAGAGGATATGGCTAGGAAGGGAGTAAACAGTGAAATGACGAATGATAGAGTAGAATGGAAGATAATACAAACTGCGACGACCCGAAATAAAATTGGGATAATGGTAGGCAGATGATGATATTGTAATTTTTACAGGTGAAAGTATCGATTGAGTCAGGCCACAAAGTTGAATGGACAGAGGAGACCAACTATATGTTCAGGCTTAGTGCATTCAAAACCCATCTTCAGGAATGGCTAAAAAATGGTAAGTTCTGTCACATGGACTAGGGTCTCTCACACACGGCTGTGGATCCCAAAGTAAATACATACATACTAATACTTCTAAATACATACATATTATAAACTTGCTGACTTGCATAATTTCGTCTGCCTCTAAAGGAATAAATTTTCCCCATTTCTGTAACATTTTGCATTAATGGCTTCTATTGGTCGTAGCATGATTTCTATAGAGTTCCCTGATAAATGGGATAGCCTAATACTTAAAGAATTACACCTAGGCACTGAGCGGGAATTCAAACCACAACCCCTGACTAAGCCGACAGGACTTAACTATTAATACAGGTTAGTAAAATCTCGCACTATACTGTCGCCAAATACTTACTATAGTTTTTAACCCCCGACAGAAAACGAGGGGTGTTATAAGTTTTTTAATTTTTAAACTAATAAGATCGGCTATCGTAATAGGGGATTACGTAAGTGGAATTAAAATTGTAGTCAATAAAATAAGGGCGTTTATATGTCTCTGCTTACCTCCTCGGGAATGTAGGCGTAAGAATTTGTGCATATGTAAGTTTTTCTTAATATTTGTTTACAGACGGAGTTATAACACCTGCCAAGTTTCAGAGACAACTACAAGAAATGTTGCACAATGACGTGTACTTTCCCGACATATCAGTGAGCAGGCCGACCAGCAGGGTCCATTGGGCTATACCAGTAAGTCTTAATATTAATTATATTTCTATAATACATTAAAACGGGAGTGATGTTCGTTTTAGTTTCCGCCAGATGGCGCTAGTGGGACTTTTAAAAATCAGACTCGAAAGTTATCGGATCCGAGGGCCCGGTCGTCACGGTGACTGCGTCCGGCGTTGCGATTGGTCCGAACTGGACTTTCCACCAATCGCAAGGAACACGCTCGCTGCCGAGAGCTTTGATGATGTGATGTTGATGTGAAATTATTTTCTTGGCCTTTTTTTTTTCGTACCAATTTTTTTTACATTTGCTACAAATGTACGTTTTATCTGTTATTTTTATTATTAACGACACTATAAAACCAAAAATTTAATCGCAAGAAAAACTAAAGAAAGAAGAACTTAAATTGGTCCAAATTATACACAGAAAGCAAAACTTTATAAAATCGGTTGACTCGGAATTTTTATATATAAAGATATACTATGGTCCCTCGTGTATCGTGCAGGTGCCTGGTGACGAGGAGCAGAGTATATATGTATGGTTGGACGCTCTTATAAACTACCTATCGGTGATCGGGTACCCTGATGAGGAGGCCATGAAGCTGAGGGGCAGACCCTGGCCTGCTGATGTACAGGTAGTCGGCAAGGACATACTCAAGTAAGTAAAGAAACGAAAAAAGAAAAAACATGCAATTTACATATGAAAAATCTATTTATTTATCAGCAACTAGCTGACCCGCGCAACTTTGTCTGCGTCTCTCAATAGTAATAAATTTTCTCCGTTTTTGAAACATTCTTCATTGGTGCTCCGCTCCTATTGCTCTTAGCGTGATGATATATAGCCTATAGCCTTCCTCGATAAATGGGCTATCTAACACTGAAATAATTTTTCAAATCGGACCAGTGGTTCCTGAGATTAGCGCGTTCAAACAAACAAACAAACTCTTCAGCTTTATAATATTAGAATAGATTTTTAATAATATCCAAAAATACAAATATGTGTACAAAAAAAAATTAATATAATATTAATATGTAGTGAATGAATTAGTTATTTTATAATAGCAATCAGTAACTATGCTCGTCGTCTATGGTAATGCATTCCAGAGGTACATAGCTTGTACTGAGAACGATGAGTCAGGAATCGTTGAAGTATGATTGGATAATTCAAATATTAGATTTTCCAAAAATATAATTGTCTTGACACTACATTTTGTTTTCCACAAGGTTCCACGGCATCTACTGGCCAGCGTTTCTAATGGCGATAAAATGGCATCCGCCACGTAGGCTGGTGTGTCATTCCCACTGGACTGTGGACGGCAGCAAAATGTCCAAGTCTTTGGGTAACGTGGTCTGCCCGCGGTCAACCCACGTGGGCAACGAGGCGCTCCGGTACCTCCTGCTTAGGGAGGCGACGATGGCTACTGATGCTAGTTAGTATAAATATATTCTTTCTTTTTAAATTGCAAACATTTTTCTTTACCTTTAGTGATATAAGCATTGTGTGGTACTTTCAAGCGATATCTTTGCGCGCAAATTTCTATTTGCCGTTTTGAAAATCTTACAGTTTTACCTGCATTTACTGCTCTGTATCTAAAAGTCATAGCGTGATGTAATATCGGTATCTATAAAAATGTTAAGTTGGTTTGTGTACGCTTAATAAACTCATAAAGTTCCGCACCGATTGAGTTTAAATTTTGATATGATATGCAAAACACTATAATGTTGTTTTTATCTATTTTTCACATAGGTTTTGTTGTTCATTTCTCATTAATGTAACAACATTTTTTTTGTTTTTTTTAAAAGACAACTCCCGCAGTAGGAATAAATTCTGTGTCGCGGGGGACTTTACAAACATACATGAAACGGACACAAAGAACACCCAGACTCAGAACAACAATTTGTGGATCACACAAAGTGTCGTCTCATGTGGGGTTTGAACCCACAACACAGCGTAGTAGAAAGCGGCGTGGCGACCGTTTAAACCACTACGCCATCCCTGGCAGTTTTGCAAAAAGCTAGCGTTATAAATAACTGAGTTTAACCAAAACAAAAACAGTCCTGAGTTTCGTTACATTCGTATTGAATTTATTAAGATTCGTTAAAAGTTCTTGTACACCAAAAGTGCGAAAACAACATTAATTCTTAGAAAACTCTTAATACCCTTATTCCAGATTATAGTGAATCAAAACTAATTAATGTAGCGAATTCGGAGTTAGCCGACACGTTAGGTAACCTAGCTTCCCGTTGTTGTGGCGCGGTGCTGAACCCTCGCAGTGAGCACCCCCCTCTCCACGCAGCGGAGTTCGCGTCACTCGCCACTGACCAACACGCCACTCTACTCATACAGCACGTTGAGGAACTACCAGGTTAGTTAATACCATCATCAATAAATACATCCTACCCTGTACATTTTTTCGTCATTTACAAAATTTAGAAAAACATTAATTATATGTTATCATCACACATCGACAGCCTTTAATAGTCCACTGCTGGACATATACCTACTATACCACGCTGGCCAGACTTCTTTTTGCAGTGCTGGTGTCCTGCGTTGTTTTGCTCCCTTAGTCGGCTCTTACGACACCCACGGGATGAATTGGGGTAGTGACATTCCGTATTCTTAATCCGTCACTACACGGACATAATTATATGTAACGCTTTTTAAAAGTTTCATTGAATATTAATAGCTTTTGTTGACTAACTTAGCCCATAAAATCATTCATCTTCTTACAGAATTAGCTCGCCTACACTACAGAAACTACCACTTCTATAAGGCAGTGGATGCCGTCATCAAAGTACTCCATCTCGCCAATCTGTTCTTCGAAACGCACAAACCTTGGGAACTTCGCAAAAAGCCTGAACTACAGAAAGAACTAGATGTCATATTACACATAACTATGGAGACCCTCAGGATATGCGGAATTATTTTACAGCCAATAATTCCCGCTATGACTTGTAAATTATTAGATAAACTACATATTAGTAAGGATTGTAGAAGCTGGCAACACTGTGAGACGCCATCTTGGAGAATAAAAGGCGCCATTTATGAAACGAAGAAGATTCAAAGCGGGAAATTTGTTTTGTTTCAAAGGATTTATGAAAAGAAAAATGTTGAGAAGAAAAAAGTCAATGTGTAATTTATTTTTTGAGATTAAAATTACTTTTAATGTGTACATGGAACATTTTATGCTTTGCACTGAATATTATTTGTAATACTTGCGGTATTGTTATGTCTTCATAGTAGGGATAAATGTTTAGACAAACTAGTTTTGTAGATTTGAATATTAGATCTCTTGTTATGTTATTGTTTTTCAATTCTCTTGTGGATAAGTATTCTTTTTAAATTATATTTTAGTAGAATAAAAAATATTTTCTTTAGTAATTCTGTTCTCCAATCTGATTAGTTATAATAGATTTTAAATTCATCCTTCAGTGAATAGTTTTTATTTATAGAGAAATGTTCATTGTACAAATATTTATTTATGTGTTGAGTGAAGATGTTGTGTGTTATATTCCTTAGTTTATATGTCATGTTATTGTATTGATATTTATTTGAAATAACATCACCGTCATAAGATTTAATAACGTAATACATTAACATGTAGTCATGTATTCAGCATGAGGCCGAGATACATGTCGGCGGTTAAATTATGTCCGTACTTTCTAGTCAAACTGCGCTAATCGCTTAGAAACGATTTTTTTTTTAAATTAAATTGCAATTGTATAGATGACTGTCAGGTGTTTGTAAGTCTTCTTAAACGGTAAAACGCGGTACTTTTTTGTATGAAATAATATTTCGTGACGTCATACCTAGCTATTGTCAAATCATTAATATTTAATGTTGATTTCAAGACATCAAATCAACAAAAAGATTAAATTGATAATGGCAGACAATTCAGGCTCTACTTTAAAATGTTGCATTTAATGAAACAGGCGAAATAAATTGGTATAAACCTAGGAATCTACCATATTAAATTTGTTTTCATTATAAAGATTTGTTTATTTAGTTGGGTACAAATAAAGCTAATAAAAGCGTTTTAATAAAATGATATACACTATCCCGCCGTAGTCATATAGCACTATAATTATATTAAACCGAATATCTGGTACAGTTATATTTGTGTTATAATAGCATGGAGCTGTTTTTGTTGAATGCGTCTATTCTTGTTAGTGTACTCAATTATTACCACTTTTAACTAAAATCTACCGTTTTTTCTTCCTTACGCTGAAATGTATTGTCTATGCTTGATAAATATCACAATTTGTTTGTCTACGGAGTGTTGTTATAAATGACTAGCTGACCCGCGCAACTTCATCTGCGTCTCTCAATGGTAATAAATTTTCTCCGTTTTTGAAACATTCTTCATTGGTGCTCCGCTCCTATTGGTCTTAGCGTGATGATATATAGCCTATAGCCTTCCTCGATAAATGGGCTATCTAACACTGAAAGAATTTTTCAAATCGGACCAGTAGTTCCTGAGATTAGCGCGTTCAAACAAACAAACAAACAAACAAACTCTTCAGCTTTATAATATTAGTATAGATTACGATTGTTTTTAATTGGTAACCCGCATAAGTTTTCTACAACGTCTTGCCTTCAACAATCTGTGTAACTAGCCGCTATTTTGTTTGCCCTTTCTTCTCATTAAGCTCAACCCCTGGGAAACGGGCAGTTGTAGATTTTTGAAAATTTTATTTTGCTAAATATTTTTGAAAAAAACGGACGAAAGTGTTGTTATAGTGTGTTGTGATATATTGAATGAACATAAGAGTCATCACGTAAGAGACGATTACAAAGAATGTTGTGGAACAGTTATTTTGACTTTTATAATGAGCGCATGCGGTACTAGAATCGGCTGATTACCAAGTCGAGATGTCAGATTCAGAGAAGTCTTCCATCTTGGCACAGATGCATTGAACTGTAGTATCATATAGAGATGGTTCCTAAATATATCGAAGTTGCTAAGGAAGAAACTAAAACTCTTCTTCATACTTCCCAAATGCAATAATAGAAAATATAGTTTAAACAGATAAATAACGGACTGTCTTTTTACTAGTTGAGTTGACTCTAGTATTTTATGACGACTGGATGGCGTAGTGGTTCGTGTATCGGACTGCTATTCCTAAGGTCGCGGGTTCGATACCCGCTCAAGACAAACATTTGTGTGCATGAACATTTAATGTTGATTTGGTCTGGGTATTTACAAAAAAAAGTATATATGTATTTATATCAGTTGTCTAGTACCCATAGTACAAGCTCTGCTTAGTTTGGGACTAGATGGCGTTGTGTGAATGTGGTACAATATTATTATTAAGTATTATGAGATTCGATTTATTGAGGTGTGTATGACTCGATACTTCAGCTAAATTTGATGCTGTTTTATATCAAGCTACGATTCCTGAGCTACGTTTTTTTGTATACGGTTGTCATTTAAAAACCCGCAGTGGTTGTTGGTTTTCAAGTCAAATGGAAGGATAAAGTTCATTGATAATTTATTATGCGAGTTATAAATTCGTAACAGCATTGAATTAGTTGAAGTATAATGAAAAAATGTTTATATTTTGTATAGTTTGTAACTAGTTGTGTTCTGTGCTGTTTATTTAATAAATTGTTGAACATATTTTTTTTTATTTAACTACTTCGCTCATCAATACGTTCTGTGTGGTGACGGATTAAGAATATGGAGTGTCACCACCCCTATTCATCCCGTGGGTGTCGTGAGAGCCGACTAAGGGAGTAAATTACGCAGGGCAACAGTACGGCAAAGAGAAGGATAACTAGAAACAAACCCTATACCAAACCGTCTGGCCAGCGTGGTGTAGGCCAAAACCTCCTTTATAAGGAGAGGCATGTGTCCAACTGTGGACCATTAGAGGCTGTTGATGATTATGTTTAAACACGTGATGTTTCCTAGACATAAATTGTCAAAATGGTGTAGACATACGAATTCAGCAGTAATTTTACTGTGTGTATTCGTTTAGTTGTGTCTATGTCACAGTATAATAGATCATTGTTCATTTTAAAAATACTACTCTCGTACTAGGAATATATCTTGTGTCGTGTGGGACTTTCAAACATACATGAAACGGACACAAAGAGCAAGCAGGCTCATGATAACAATTTGTGGATCACACAGTGATGTCCCGTGTTCGGATCGAACCTACAACACTTAGTGCAGTAGGAAGCTGCGAGGTGATAACTTAAACCACTACGCCATCCGTGCAATGCACGTAGTTATAAGTAAATATAAGTGACTTCAATAATACCGTTGAAATTTCTATTGTCTAAAAAAACCCGATTGAATGTCTAAAAACAACCCGTATGGCAACATTATTGCGATTGCACCTTTTTTATAATATAACAGCAGCCGAATAACCTCATGGTAAGTGACATGGTAGACGTTTCTCTTTAATTTAAAACCTGCGTTTTCATTGATATTTTTTTTCAAACATCTCCACTAAACTACGTTTATTCTGAAATCCTCACTCTTTAGAGTGAGGATTTCTGGAAAAAAATTACAATGCTCACTAGTGGGATATATCAGTTGGGATTTCTGGAATTAATCGAATATTCTGATAGTGATTTGTTTCAGCAGTAAAATTAACGTTAGGTGGGTATAGGAAAATTTAATAAGAACACGCATTCTATATCGGAGTCAATTTATTTACGAATATGCTTATTAAATAATAATATTTGCATCAAAATACTGCAATAACGACTAACGGTATGAAGGGAAGCTAACCATAATACTATTAAGCTAGATACAGCAACGCAACGGTTGCATTGCAACCGAAAGCGCAACGCGTTGCAGTAGCACGACACAACAGCTTGCTTCAACTTGTGTTCTCCAAATGAGTTCAAGATGGCGCTTTTGAGACACGTGACTTGATGCAACATAACATAACAGCTTTACCTTACAACAACAAGAGTATACAACAAAAAAATTCTATAATATTTGAAATATCTTTAAAAAACATGGTATTTATTTAAAAAAATCTCGTTTTAATTCAATAAGAACTCATCTTGGAATATAATTTCTGGAATTTGTTTCCGAAATACGAAGCTCCAAATTCTTTTATGTCGTGTCACTACAAAACTTCAAACTTAGTCGAAATGCATCAAATGAGTATGATACAGGTTCCAATCTAATTAATATTATTATATATATATATATATATATAAATTCTTACAAAAATTCGGTGACAAATACATTTGCTTAAATGCTTAAATCAATGTTGTTGTATGTGAACACTGCTTCTTAAATGAGATATTTCTGTCTCTGTCACTTCACATCAAACATAATTTAATAAATTACAATTGATTGCCATACTTATTAATCAACGTTTAAATAATACAGTTTTCTGGCATATATTCAAAAGGACAAATGATAAAAAAACTTTTTGCTATAATCCTTTTTTAAATATAGTAGTTATGCAAGTGTTGCCAGTGTCTAAACATAATTTTTACCCTAATTATCAAAAGTAACGCATTTTTACAAAGTTCACATACAACATCAGCACAATGACTTGGCTTAAACTAACACCTCGAACTAAACGAACAACTGTACATAACATATGAACTCCTGCGCCTTGAGCATTCACTCACATTCTGATATTGACTCTACAACTCTATTTGGATTTAAAAAAATGCATAATGAATGGTAACACTTGACTCATAGAGAGACTTATAAGGTCAGAAAACAGTTGCCTAAATATGCTAACTTAAAAATAACATATTAAGGTCAACATGACCTATGACTTATATATAGATAGACCCGTCAAGTTCTTCAAAATCAAGTTAATCAAGTTACCTACGTAATGACAAAAAAGAACTAGTCGTCTAAGTATACCAATAACTAAAACTAACTAAATATAACAGTGATGACAGGTAAATAAAATGAATAAGCGAAGCCAATTTGACCTTTCACTTTGGTCTGGAGGGAAATGTACGTAGTTTTTATGGACTCTGAGTACAGCCTGCTTATAAAACTTTATTAATCGTTACATTTGTAGCAAAAAAAAAGTAAATTTAGTTGATACGAACGAAGCTATATTCACTCTCCACCGTTAATAGTTAGGCATTTCAATGATTAATAAAACCAAATTGTGGTGTGAATATGGTCAATTCGAAATACAA